TGTGGGTGGTGATGACTAGCTGCCTTCCCTCTAGTCTTACACTGCTAAATTAGGGACGGCTAGCGCAGATAGCCCTCGTGTAGCTTTGCGCGAAATTCAAAAAAACAAACAAACTTCAAAAAGCTACACCCAGTCGATGCTATCATGAGTAAATAAACATATAAGTGTTTTAACTAATGTAATTATTTTAATGTTGTAAGCTGAATATCAACTTTGTTAAACGAAGACATTTTTTTACCACTATCAAAACTGAGAAAATTACATAGTGCAAGTAATCATGTCTACCCATTGTTGAAAAGAATTATTTGAATTATAATCACTCACTCACGCGAATCTGCAAACATAAATAATACAATGATACGAAATCCATTTGACATTAAAAATTTAATGAATGTAATAATTCTTACCTCTGCTGGATGCATGACTCCAGCAACAGTGTGCTCTGATCCTGTTTCATCCGTCTTACCCCAATGACAATGAAACTGAGCGAGTTGATACTTGTGGTTCAATGGGCCTCCTTGAAGACCTAATTGTATTGAAAATAGAGCTAATAAAATAAGTTTGATGCCAAACTTCAAACATTTTAGCTCTTACAATAAAGAATGGAGAAAAACGAAACTGTGTAACCAAAAGCTAGAAGATTAATCTTAATAGCGAATTACAATTACAGCTTCTGAAATCTTAACAAACAACCAGTGTCGGTGATGGTTTCTTCTGAAACCAGAATTTCCATATAAAGATCAATATAGATGTGTTTTTAATCGACAAATAATCACATACTTAATTTATAGATTCTAATATTTTAAAAATATCTATAAGTCATAGGTATTTTTGGTACTTGATGGTTTCGTCCTGAACAACCCTTATGCGCTATATGGGTTTGTAGCCAGATCAGAGACCTCGAGGTTTATCGTAACCATCCTTTTAAAACTGCTGGTCAGAGGCGAGCGAGACAAACAACCACAGCGCTCCCTATTTACGAGGGTACTCCTAATCAAAGAGCGGTATCGACTGTCACGTGTAACTCTATCGCGGCTGAAACTACAGAACGTGTTTTCGTAGTCACGTCTGTCTCGAGCATTGGACCTTATGATCTATAGTACGACACACTAATCACTAGGCCACACCCAGCGTATTTCTTAAGTAATTCCGTCAGCGACAAATAAAACTTAAGATGTTATTTCTGTATTAAAATTGCGAAAAAAAATCATTTTGATAAATATATATCATCATAATTATTAACGTATATTTATTAATGAGCTAATTGGAAGGCATTAAAGTTTGAAAGTTTCGAAGCTCTTTCAAAATTCAAAAAATGTCTCTGATAAGCATAAGGCTTAAATACGCCAAAAGATAACAAACAACTAAGTTGCTGATCGCCCCCCAGTGGCACAGCGGTATGTCTGCGGACTTATACTGTTAGAAACCGGGTTTCGATACCCGTGGTGGGCAGAGCACAGATAGCCCTTTGTGTAGCTTTGTGCTTAATAATAAAACAAAGAAACAAGTTGCTGATCATTCCAGTTAATATACACGATGCGAACGAAATAAAACCTGAAACTTGAACAAATGTCCAATGTAAACATAAACGTTTTATTGTTGCAGTGAATTGGGAGATATAGTTCAATTTTTGATTTTTCTAAAAGATAGGCTGCGACATCGTTACTCAGCCTTTTGGTTGCAGATCTAATCTATTTTCTGAACACGATAAAGCCAATCAATATGTCCATTTTGATTAACGTACTTTTATCGTTTTTTTCGATTGTCGAACTGAACTGTAAAGAACTTAATGGAAGACTGATATATATATATATATATATACT